GAGGTAGACGCGCCATCCACCTCCCACCCACCGCTGTGTGATGAGGGAGGAGACGGGGCATGTGGAGAAACCACCCGGACGCGAGGGCCCCAGACAGGGGGCGGACTTGTTTCCTCCAAGACATTGTAACGAAACAACGTTGAGCAAAATGGCATTAATCAAGAAACTGCCATATTATAAATTATCGCTGATCTCGTATAAATAATATTTTTATTTCCACTATATCTTTAAGAATATATTTGAGTGACTGTAAAAATAAGCTTTTCTTTTAAAAAAAGATTTTACGTATGTATTTATTTTAATATTTTATTTATTTTTAGAGAGAGTGATGGGAAGGAGAAAGAGTGGGAAAGAAACATCAGTGTGTGTTTGGTTGCCTGTCATGTGTCCTCCACTGGGGACCTGGCCTGCAACCCAGGAACGTGCCCTGACTGGGGATTGAACTGGAGACCCTTTGGTTTGCAGGCTGGTGCTCAATCCACTGAGCCACACCAGCCAGGGCTAAAAAATAAGCTTTTCAGAAGAAGAATTTAACTGTAGTTCTTTTCTTAAATGCCACATCGTGGTGTCTTTTTGGAGATAAACCGCATTCTCCAAGGCTCTCGCCTTAGAGAAAGGGGTGACGCTGCCGTGGAGGGGACCAGCTTCTACCTCTGTTCACTGGCTGCCTGTCTCTGCAGATGGCCTGACGGCCTGGGAGGTGGCGCTAGAGAAAGATGCCACCCAGAGTCGCCCAGCCATTGGTAACATCAGACAGATGTCATGAAGAAAATGGACAGCATGACCAGTGAGCTTAAAATGAGGGGCCTGGTCAAGTCGGGGCTCGGGACACGCTCCCCAGTGAGGGCGCGCTGCAGCCGAGAGCACAGGTGTCAGCGCTCACTCGGAGTCGCACTGACTGAGGTGACCGGCAGTAGGTACTTGAGGACCTGGTCGGCGCAGCCCTGCGGCAGGTACTGGAGAGTAGGCAGTTAGCGAACTGTGGGACGTGTGTCCCCAAGGTGACAGCTGAACTGAGCCCGGAAAGCAGATTTGGGCTAACTGTGCAACTAGGAAAGGGGTGGTCTCCTTCGGCAATTCCTGCTAGGACTTTGATTATCCACGTACATTTTGATTACATCCATTGAGGCAAAAAACTCATTCAGAATTCTGTCTACCTTGCATTCAGCGTGTGAACTGCCCTGTGGAGAAGGGACATCCCAACCCTGGGGATGGCTGGTCCCTTGGCCCATCAGGGAACCCGTCAGTGCCCTCCATTAGGGCTTGCGTGCCCTCGCCACTGCAGCCAGTCACTGGCAGTGTGTCCCTTGGTCATTTTCGTGGCCGTGACCTGGGGTCTTCCTCTCAGTTATGTCTCCGTGTTGCTCGTGAGCGGAGACGTTGGCCGTCAGGTTTTATTTTTGGTCTTTGTTGGGTTTTGTACCTGTGGCCCAGCCAAGATGGTCTGTCTGTTACTCCGTTGGTTTTTCCACGTATTGTGCATTATATTGTTTACAAGCAAACACAATGTTTTATTTAAAAAGAAAGGTAGATGGGCTTCCACTGCCCCTCCTCCCCCAAATGGCCACTTAGCAACCCGACTCAGAACCTAGCACTTCCGTTACAGGGGGATGGGTGTCTGGGGGATGCACTTGGGCCTTGGGTTGGCTCACCTTTATAAACCCTGTGCAGGCAGGTGAGACAGCGTCAGTATCACGGTAGAGCAGCCCTTAGCGTTTTGAACAAAGAACTGAACAGTCATGCGTTCCTTCCTTGTCGTCTCGGAAATTGGATTATTGGCATTATTCTTTGGCGTGGATCCCTTCATGTCTCAAACCCCCACGTGCTCCCGTGTCCCCTGCGCTGCAGTGGCATCAGCATGAGCACCTCATTGCCCCCCTCAGTAGTGACCCTGACAGGGACAGACAGGCTACATGCTATTGCAGAGCTGTGAGGGTTCTCCACAGTGTTGCTTTCTGGGCCATTTCATTGTACATCTAATTTAGTAAACTTAGCAACTTGGTGGGCCGATTTTAAGTACTGAAAGTGGAAATGTCCAGAAAGTTGTAAAAGCAGGTGCCTCCTGATGTCCCGGGGTCAGAACCATGGAGGCCACGGTGGAGGTCACAGGCGCGCCCGCGCACGTGGTGATGCTTCGTGCCTGCTGCTTCCTCCCCTGCACCTGTGCCCGGTGCAAAGAGGGTCCTGCTTCTGGAGAAGAGGCGGCCCGGGGAGGCACCCCCCGAGTCCGTGCTGCGCTGTGTAACCCAGCTCTAGCTGCGTCCGCCCCGGTGAGCACTTGCGTCAGGGGGTTTGGGCCAAGCAGGGTGACAGACTAGGGTGATCAAGTCAGACCTCCGGCTTCCAGACTGCTGGGAGACACGGGTTCCCTTTGGCAAAGGTCACCTTGACAAAGATCATGTTCTGTGTTTGTGTCAGACTGAGCTCCACGCATCTGGGTGGCACGCTCCCTCATGCACACACAGGTATCAGCACCATGGTGCTCAGCAGATTTGACCCTTGAACTTTTATGGGCTAAGAAATGTTGCTAGGGCCCCGGTGGGTGTGGCTCAGTGGATTGAGCACTGGCCTGAGAACCCGAGGGTCGCCAGTTTGATTCCCAGTCAGGACACATGCCTAGGTTGCAGGCAGCCACACATTGATGTTTCTCTCCCTCTCTCCCTCCCTTTCCCGCTCTCTAAAAATAAATAAATGAAATCTATTTTTTAAAAAAAGAAACGTTGCTAGGATAGAGACCCAAGAATAACTTGGGATGGCCTCCTTTTGCCTTCTCTCCTCTAACCTTTTTGAGACGTGAGCATTAAGTTTTTTCAGTGGAAGGTGGTAGGGAAGGTGGGCAGGAATTACAGAGCAAGCAGTGGGTGTTCACAGACACGATAAATGTCTGTGGCTGCTGTCACCAGTCCCCCCCAACTCTCGAAGGCACCCCCAGTCTCTGGATGACTCTCTTGGAGCCCTGTGATCTCTTGGAGAGGATAGAACACCCCAGGTCACAAATGCCACCTCCCCACGAAAGCAGTGGCCTCCGACTCACCCCTCTGCACTTCCATAGCCCTGCAAGGACAGAGGGTTCTGCTCCTGGAGACAATGGTGTCTGCCCAGGGGTGGCCTTCCCCTAGTGAGGGGGCTGTGCGGCCCCTCGATGTTTTGCGTGGGCCTTGGGATCGGGGTGCCGGGCGGATGTGCCATCTGCTCAGCCTCCCCTGTCGTGGCCTCTGTGCGGCGTTGCCGGTTGTCCGGGACGCCCTTCCCAAGCCCGCCCACTCGGCCTGTGCACAGACGCCAGCCTGCTGTTTCTTGCCACGGTGCCTAGGAGCGTGACTCGTGTTTGTACTACTCGTCTTTTACCGCTCGTTTCTGGATCCCAGACTTTTGTTCCATTCCTTCCATTCCTGCACCGTTACTCTGCATCCGCCCATCCCCCCAGGCGACGCAGAGCAGACTGCACGCGGGGCTGTCACAGCTGAGGACTTAAAGAGGGGACACTTCTCTTCACGAAACACGGTGTGAAGGTTCGCAGCTCAGCATCAGAACCAGTGAAGACGGACGGAACTCCACAGACACATTCTGGTTGTTGTTGTGGAGGCGGATTTTGACTCGTGGGTCAGGCTCTGGGGAGTGATGGGACCGGGGGCTTCTTCTGATCACCGGTGAGAGCCCAGCTCTGTAACTGGCAGGTGATAGGCTCAGACTCAGGGAGGAAGCTGATCATATTTAAACCTACAAAAAAAGTTGGCCGTATAGAAAAAGTGAACTTTGTGTTTATATCACGAATCTGTCAGTTATGTTTTGCTTTATTTAGAAAGCTAACTTTTCGTGTTAACCATAAGGACATTAAAATGTACCTGTGCTTTGCCCTGGCCAGTGTGCTTTTTGGTTGGAGCGTCGTCTCATAGACTGAAAGGTCGCAGGTTCGATTCCTGGTCGGGGCATATGCCCGGTCGGGTAGCATACGAGGGACCACCGACCGGTGTTCCTCACATCGCTGCTGCCTTCCCTCTCTCCCCTCCTCCTCTTCTCTCTCTACAATCAGGAAGTGTGTCCTCAGGTGAGGATTAAAAACATGTGCCTGTGCTCCAGAGCACCCCAGGCTTCATGTAGAAAACATCTGTGGCACAGGCACTGAGTTTTATGAAGTTGAGAATAAATGGAGCCGCGGCGGGACTGGTGAAGGGCAGTGCGAAGGCGGGGTTCAGAGGCGCGAGTCCTGGGGGCGTCGTCCGAACTGCAGGAAACTTCTCCCCCCGCCAGCCGTTTCTGTGTGAGCCCAGACACACTGAGGGCGCTCGCCTGTCGGGTCGCTGGGCGCGCGGCCGTGCCTCTGGGGACGGTCCCCTGGCCGTGCACTCGGAAGGCACCGTCTTGACCGTGGCCGTCGTCGCTGACTGCGGCGAACTTGTGCAGCTGGGTCACACAGGGCGTCCTGCACAGGGTGGCATTTGCCATTCGTCACCATTTTCAGTTCTCAGTCTCCGCTCTTTCCTTCATAATCTCATCCTTTTCTTACCAGACTCGAAATGTCTCTCTCGCGTTTGCACTTACTGGGTGTAATAAAGGTCGCAGGTGTCATCGCTGCCCCTCGGTATTTGTAGGTGCTGTTTGTGAAAATCGACAGCTCACAGTCAAGCGGGATCTTGGTGGTCGCCTGCCCATGGCCGTGTTTCCTGCTGCAGTGTTACTGGGGGCCCACGCTGCTTCTGATGGGTTTTTTAGAGGGGAGGGAAGGGAGAGAAGCGTCAGTCGGTTGCCTTTTGTACGGGCCCAGATCGGGGACCGAACCCACAACCCAGGCCCGCGCCCCGACTGGAAGTGACCGGAGACTGTCCCGGTGCAGGAGGACGCCCAGCCCACCGAGCCACAGCTGCTGGGGCTGCTTCGGAACTCTGACACAGAGAACCACTGGGATCGGCTCTCGTTAGAATTACTGAAGATCTTTTAAAAATGTTCTTCGTAAATATTTTTAATGTCCTGGTTGTAATTATAGAACATATGGATTTTAGTTTGCAGTTAACATGTTTCGAACGTTGCCACCTTCCTCCAATCCTACGGGAGCAGAGTTTGACCCAGAGGAGGACGAACCAACGCTCGAAGCAGCCTGGCCGCACCTACAGGTACTGAACTCGGGGATGCGCGCGTTCACGGGGTCTCCCTCCAATGCGGTGCAGCGGCCTCACTGCAGCTGGTCACAGGTGGCCTCTCGTCGTTAGTGGCGTAGGCTTCGCACATGCTTGTGTGTACGTGGAAGTGTTTTAGCAGAGAGAACATTTCGTGGTTTTCGTTCGGGTGGATGCTGTGTATCAACTACAGAGACACAGAATTGTCTGTATGTTGTTTATGGAAACGACCACTTTGCTGATGGCCTAGAGGACTCACACAGACATTGCTGGTTTTGGGGTCTGTAGATTTAATGTGCATCTGTTCTGTGCCCCAAAGCTCAGTTAGGAGGGCCGGTTGGTCCTAGGAGGGGAGATGGAGAGAGGTGAGAACCCGCGAGGAAACCAGGTGAGACACAGACGGAAAGGAGGGCTGTCTCAGTACAGAGCGTCCCCTCCCACAGCGTCTGGGACTCCCGTGTAACCGTCTGGACACTTGGAGGTGACGGGCTACAAGTCCCACCCGAATTTGGTCACAGCCCGGCTCATGGCCAGTGTGCACGGTGGCCTTCAAGCAGCATAATGTCAGCTTTGGTGACATCAGCATAGCAGTCCCTTTGTTTAAATGCCATTTAAAGAGATAGTCTGTGATTCTAAGCAAGTCAGACAGTTACTATCATCACTTATAAGTGAATTGGGCCATGTAATATGTCATTAACTGTATAGACTCACGGCTCTCTTAAGGCTGGTGTTTGTGACAAGACTCAGTGCATAGTGTGTGTTTAATCTCCACTTAATAAAATACCATGTTTTTTGACTCGGTTTTATTTTTTTCCCTCCTAGCTTGTTTATGAATTTTTCTTAAGATTTTTAGAGTCTCCAGATTTCCAACCTAATATAGCAAAGAAATATATTGATCAGAAGTTTGTATTGCAGGTAAGGCATAAATTAGCTGAAACTACAAAAGCCCTGATTTACAGAGAGAATCTCAAGTCACTAAGTGTCTTTTTCTTCTTGAAGCTTTTAGAGCTCTTTGACAGCGAAGATCCTCGAGAGAGAGATTTTCTTAAAACTACCCTTCACAGAATCTACGGGAAATTCTTAGGCTTACGAGCTTACATCAGAAAACAGATAAATAATATATTTTATAGGTAAGTCACTGTGGATGGCATTTCTCTTTTCACGCGGTGATGTTCATTGTCATACTCCTTCCTTCTGCCTCCTTGCTCCCTTGACAAGAGACCAAGGGGCCACCGGCTGTCATGGAGTATGACAGTGTCGTGTCCAGTGGCCCTAGTCTGCACCCTCCCCACCCCAGCCCCTGCCGGACCCACTCCGAGCACCTCGTCACATACCTGCTTTGTCTCAGTCTGTACTCAAACCAGGGGTCGGTCTGGGACTCGGCCGAGTGGTCCGTCCAAAGCAGTGCCTTCGTTCTTCCCCTCTGCGTCCCAGTGGGGGGGGAGGGAGATCTGAGACTCACATTAGAGGCGTGGAGCCTCCGCAGTGCTCCCTGTGGGGAGCAGCACGTGGAGGCCGGGCAGCTTTTAGCGGTCACGGTCACCCTAGGCCTGCAGGGGCACGGGGCCGAGTCAGGTGGGAGGCCGGCCGCAGCACCACAGCTCATTAGAGAGCATTCCACAGCATCCTGGGTTCAGGTCCCGAGCGCAGTGTCGCCTGGGCCCCTGATCGCCCTCCCCATCCCAGTCTCAGCACCCCTCTGGCATCTCCTCATCCCTGCTGCTGCCTCCGAGTCACACAGCGGGTGTCCTTGGGCGAGCAGGTGTTCAGCCCTGGGTGGGCCCTTCATCCCACTGGTCAGGCCTCCTTCTGGCCCACCTCTCTGCTCCGCCCAGCTCCCTCCACTCCACCACCTGGCAGCCTGGTTTGATCTCCTGCGACGTTCTTTTCTGCCAGCCCTTCTCCTTGACCTCTCAGGCTTCCAGAAACACCTGCTCACCAGGGAAGCCTTTCTGGCCTAGCGGACAGGCCCAGTCTCCCTGTGAGGGCAGGCTTCGTGCCAGCTGCTCTGGTACGTGTCCCAGTGCCAGCCCGTGCCCAACTGTGGTGGCACCGAATAGATGCTGGTAGATGAAACAGTCACTGCTCTCCTCTGTCCCTGGGAGGCCCACTAAGTCCGCAGTGTGTTCTGGGAACGTTGGGTTCTCGGGAAGGCTAACCCAAGGCCCCCGAGTGCAGGACAGCTCAGGGTGGTGACAGGCCATAGTGGTGACAGGCACGGTGTGCAGGTCCTGCTGTGAGGTGGTTGAGCTCCAGTGCCGGAGTGAGAGCGACGGCCCTGGCCATCGCCTGGAGGGGGCGGCCACAGGCCACAGCAGGGGCACTGCAGAGGCCAGCAGGGCCCTCGGACACCCTGACCACACAGGGGAGAGAGGAAGGGCCAAGGCGGACGGGGGACAGGAAACCCAACCGAGGGCCCCACAGCCGAGACCTACAGCCTCTCTGGGGAGTCTGTCGCCAGCCTGGCATACAGCCCAGTGCTTGAAGTCTTCCTGTCCCGCACTCCTGTGCTCCCCAGGGTCTGATCCTCTCCCTTGTCCCCACACTGACACGACATTTCAAGGGCAGAGACTTCCTCTGAGGGTTGCTTCCCTCTGAACTCCTTCAGGCCCCTACACTCATTTCTAACACCCACACACTCGGGACAGTGACATCACACTCCCTGTGCCTGGTCATGCCGGGGTTCTGGTACCAATAAGGCCACTCACTGCTGGCTGGTATGGTTAGTTCCCTATCAAAACATAACGTACGTGTGTGTTATTTAAACAAAGAAGAGGTGTGTTCTAAATTCAGTCTTTTAGGCCTAAAATTAAAGGTCCCCCTAAAGTAGTTTTTCTGCTCTTAAACATAGGTTTTGTTCCCATAACAGAGCCACAAATCAGCACTGGCGTTTGGGAAGGTAGGAAGTGTCTCATATCTTAAGGAACCCTAACTCGGTAACTGAAATACTCACGTAGGTTGTGACCGAAGAGTTACTCCACAGTTTAGTTCTGTTCTCAGTGACAGCTCAGCGTGAGAGCGTGGTGTCTTTCTCTTGTTTTTCAGTGAGCTTTCTATCATTGTCATTCTTGATGTGTGCAATCAGAAGTGCGCGTGCCACGTAGACCCCACAGCTGGTTGGGTCCCCGCCCCCAGCAGCACTTCCTCCTCGTTTCTGGTGGGAGGACAGTCGGGGGGCAAGGCCTGCGAGAGGCACTCGGCTCTCCACGTTCTTTGTGGCGCAGACGCATCTGATGAGGAACAGAGCGTCCCACACCTGCTCACTTCTGTTTACTGTAGCTATAGTCTCTCGTTTCGATCAGCATCTTTAAGGTGTGGTGTAAAGAGGGCTCGAGATGCCTGTGATGCCTATTTTGGCAAACAGTGGGCTTCAAAGGTTAGGTGGCTGTGGTGGGGCCAGGCTGCAGTGCCCCACCGTGGGACAAGCCGCCCCACGTCTGAGCGGCTAAAACCAGTTCATTCTTTCCCCCGCTTCTGCGACCTGCACTGGGCTCATCCGCAGCTCTGCACAGTGTCCATGCGGGCTGGGATGGCCACCTCGGCTTTGGGCAGCGCCGTCTGCCGTGCCCTCCATGGCTCCCGGGCGTTGAGGACGTGGCCGGAAGTGGCTTAGACCTGCACCTCGTGTGTTGGTCCCAGCACCTCAGGCCCGGATTGGGGGAGAAAGTCGTCCCGACTGTTCGGAGGAGGGCAGCACGCGCCTTGCTGGGAGGAGAGGAGTCCCAGCCGGTCTGGAGACTGTCCGCGACGAGCAGTTTTTAGAGCCCAAGTGATCTCCTTGCTGAGCGAGCGAGCAGCCCTCCAGCCTGCGCTGCGCGCCTCCAAGGCTTCCCTCCCACTTCACGCCCACCTTTCTGTCTCCTGCTGGAAAAGTAAGGAGGAAAATTGTGCTTATTCTTTTTCTGTATCTACTTCAAACAGGGTTAAACTAATTGGAGATCAGGGAAACAGTAAAGTTGACTTAGGGAATCGAGATGGCTTATGTAGCTCAAAGCTGTCATTGAAACATCAAAGCTGGTGGCGATGGATCAGGGGCATGAGGGGGGGCGCTGGCCAGGCTCCTCTGTGTCTGGGGCTCAGGGTTCCCCCAGATCTAAGTGAGAGGAATTGTATCAGAAGTTGCTCAGTTGCAGTGTATGCGAAGCTGTGGCTTTGGCCACGTAATGTTTGAGTGTTTCAAACAAGTAAAGCACAAGGGAGCCTTCAGGTGGAGTTTCGTGGACTGAAGCGCTCCATGGAGTGGATGGCCACGGGGAGGCGGCCTGACGTGCAGGTGTCGCAGGGAAGGCGGTGACAGCGAAGGGACATGTCTGCTGGTGGCTCAGATGCTTCCTCGGGCCTTCATCCCCCTCCCCCAGCACTGTTCCATTCAGTGCATTCCTGCTCGTCCTCATGCTGCCACCAGATTGGCTCCCAAGTCACTGCGATTTGCTGACCATGGCACTCGTGGGCTGGGGCCCGCGTCTCCCTGAGCCAGCCTCCAGCCTCCACGGGCCACCTCGCCTGCCTTCCCACCCTGTTGCCCACTGCCTGCTCCACGTCACAGACCTTTGTTCTGGCCAAAGTAGTTCTCTCCCGACTCCACACCCCCTTTTCTAAGATTTGGGGAGCCCTCCCTCAGGATGCAGTCCAAGCCCTACCCTCAGGGTGACGGGTCACCTGGAAATATAGGTGCCTGTGTTAGACCCGTCCTACAGGATTACTTTACACCCATGGGTGTCCGACCATTTGTTTTCCAAATGAGGACAATGAAATTTGAGTCACATTCTTTATTCGTCACATACTCTTATTTTGACTCGAGGCTGCGCTAAACTCCATTTCGGTCTGATAGGCAGGGACCATTTTCTGACACCTTCACTTCGGGCGAGGCAGCCCATGTGGGCTTGGACTCGCCCTAGGCGAGCAGGTGTGAGCCGGGGGCAGGTCGGCCCTTGGAGGAGGAAGAGGCCTTTCTGTGTCGTGTCTGTGTTCCCACTCGCTGTCCCAGCGGGGGAGCTTGGTCCTCGGCTGACACGGGGCGGGAGATTCTGCAGGAGCAGTACAGGGGTGTGGAGCGCGCCCAGTGGAAGCGCCGAGGTTAAGACGTCCGCCAAGGGTGTATTGGTGACCGGGAGCGCGCCCCAGAACTGCTTTCACAGCTCGATGCCCTGTTGCTGCCGGCGGGGTGCTTTCCCTCCTAAAGGTGCTGGGTTTTTATTCAGAGGATTTTAGTCTCTCCGGCTGTTATTTCACTGTCTAACTCCAAGTGACAAATTGCCTTTTCCAGGTTTATTTATGAAACAGAGCATCACAATGGGATAGCAGAGTTACTGGAAATACTGGGAAGGTAAGTCATCTCTGTGTTTGTTGGTAGTAATTGGCCTTAGGTGGGGTTCGTACCGGGATGGTCCAGTTTGCTGGGTTCAGCTGCCCCTCCAGAGCAGGGCAAGTGAAACCGCTCTCTGGGAGAGCTGGCATGAGATGGAGTGGGCTGGTGAGCTTTGGATAAGGATGTGCCCAGTGGCAAATGTCTTCTATTTGTACGGTGCCACAGGTAGACTCACTCTCCTTTACCTCGGGGACATTACTATGGAAACACAAGTTCAGTTATTTTCTCAAGAGCACTGCTAAAAATAGTTACATTAAGAGGGTTGATATTTGACACCTAGAAGAAGAATAGATCATTGTACCTTTGAGGAACTGAATAAATGCTAATATTTCAAATTGCTTTGGTTTTTATAAATTATTTGTATGTGTACTTAAAAAACAATTAACATTTCAAAAACTTTATCGTAATCCAAGTAAAGTTCTTGCTCGCTGTGCTCGTTATAATTGGTGACGAGGGATTTCGTGTCTGGCCTCCCGGAGTCCTCAGGGCCCGGAAGGGCTGCCTCCGCCGCTCCTGCTTGGAGACTCTGCTGGTGTGGGCAGCTGCCTGCGGTTCTGCAGAATCCTGCAGTGGGGAACACCGGTGTGGTGTTTTAAAGGTTTCACTGGCTTATGTTTGGAGAGAGGGGAGGGGACGGAGAAAGAGGGGAGAGAAACAGCGATTGGCTGCCTCTCAGGCACCCCGATCCGGGACAGAACCCACAACCTAGGCCCGTGCCCTGACCGGGAATCGAACTGGCACCCTTCACTTTGCAGGACCACACCCCATTCACTGAGCCGCACTGGTCAGGGCAGACCTATTGAATTTTGCTTAATGATTCACAAACTATGTTTACTCTTTTAGATATAATTTGAAAAAATGTGAGTCCTCACAGAGACCCCTGTTTTGACTAGTGTCGACACAGGCAGCAGGTCTGTCTCCCTCGCAGAGCACAGTGAGCAGTCAGGCGGGTGCCCCTTGCGGGTTGTGTGACCTTGGACAAGGTCCTCACACTCAGTCTGTTTCCTTTTCTGTGAAGTGGGAAGATAATTACATTCACCGGCCAGGCGAGCTCTTGGCAGTGTCTGACAAAACCATGTCTCTCTCTCTCTCTCTCCCCCTCGCCCCCTCCCTCTCTGCGCACACAGACGCGCACACACACGCGCACACACACACACAGTCTCCCACCACAGCTAGGCTTGATTACTGTGTCTTTCCACAAGAGGGGTCTGATCCTGGGGGTTCCCCCCATGTGAATGAGCATAGTGTCCTTGAGGGCCACTTAAGACTACCCTGCCTGCAGCACCCTGTCCCCGAGATTTGCGAATGATGGGGGAGCGATCTAGAAAACGCTTTAACCACTTCTGCAGCTCTCGGTAACGTCTGTCTGCACCTGCCTAATCGTAAAACCAAACGAATAAACTACTCGATGTTATACACAGAAACTTTGCTCTGCAGGGTAAGGGTAGGACCCCCCACTCTTGGCTGCAGGAAACAGGGTTCTGGTGATTTTTAACTCCAGCCAGTCTGTGCACACAGACTCTATTCTGTCCGCATGAGAATTGGGAGCCAGGGGTCTCTTGGGAAGTAGGTTCCTCCAGATGGGTGCGGGCTGAGGGCAGGTGCTGGGTGTGGCGCAGGGGCGCTGGGACCCCCTGGGCTGCTGCTGTCTGTGGCCTAAGGAGGGAGGGTCTGCCCCGAGAGACTCCTGTCCTGGACAGCACCCTGCAAGCCCAGAAATTCAAAACTGTCCTGTAGTTAAAAAGGTAAAATTGACCATGCTTCCTTGAAGATACTAGATTTTTTTTATTTTCTGCTGAAACAATTATTTTTTCTCAAACATATCTTTTGCTTACTGGTTTTCATGCTAAAAACAAAAAGAAAAAGAAAAAACAGCAAGATACTTTTTTTAAGCCGGGAACTTGTAAATGTTCAAACTCGGCATGCGCTCTGTTTTCACAGCATAATCAACGGGTTTGCCTTACCCCTGAAGGAAGAGCACAAGATTTTCTTACTGAAGGTGTTGCTGCCTTTGCACAAAGTGAAGTCTCTGAGCGTCTACCACCCCCAGGTAAGGCCCTTGCGCCGTCTGCCTGGAACGTTCTTCACGCAGCATCCTCATCTGGCCTGTGGCCCGGGAGGGCTTCCTTTCTCGCCTCATTGGTGACTCGGTGTCAGGGCTCTGGCGACCAGTGAAGGGTAAGATGGCGAAGAGAGGCTCCTTCCTAAGAAAATCAGAAAAATCTCAGGAATGGAGAATTTCAAAGTGGGTTTCAAGCATAGAGAAGGAGTAACTAGTGTGATGAGGAGGTGAGGGAGACTTTTCAGAGGAGAGTTGTCTGCGGTAGCATTTAAAACCTAGTGCCTTAAAGAAGAAGCCTGTGTGTCTGTGGCCAGTGAAAAGTTTTGTTTTTATAAACTGGATTTTTACAACTCTGGAAATCTAATTCAAGTCATCCTGAAAAGTTGGTCCCTAAGTGGTTACCAACCACCGCACGAATCCAGGAGATCTGGCGTTTCCTTCACTTCTATTCTAAGCTGCACATAGACAGACCTCAGCAAGGCTGCAGACGGGGGGCTCCCCTCGCTGCCGGCCGGGGGCTGGCTCCTTGCAGCCAGAGCCCAGGAAGCTCTGCTGCGAAGGCCTCACCGCGGGGCATGCGGCGTCGGACAGACCGCGGAGGGCACAGTGGGCGCTTGAGCAACACGTGTTTGAACCGTGCGGGTCCCCTCGGCGCGGATGGTTCTCAGTGGGCCCTCACGGGCTTCAGACCCGTGTTGTTCAAGGGTCAGCGGGCAGCTGGGGTCTGTACATGCTGAGGGCCGGCCTGAGCTCCCATGGTTTTTCGGCAGTGTGGGAGCAGCCACTGTTGGGAGGCCACCTCTGTCTTCCTCAGATGAGCCTAATGACATTGTCCTCCTGGGACACATGTTGCTCAGAGTGTTTTCTCTGACTGCTATTAACTGGCAAGGTCTTCACATTCAGCCCAGTTGGTATCGTATTAATTGTTCTACATTAGAAATTAATAGTTCAGGCCCTGGCTGGTGTAGCTCAGTGGGTTGAACTCGGGCCTGGGAACCAAAGGTTCATGGTTCAATTCCCTGTCAGGGCACATGCCTGGGTTGCAGGCCAATTCCCGGCAGGGGACACATGAGAGGCAACCATACATTGATATTTCTCTCCCTCTCTCTTTTCTTACCTTCTAAAGATAAATAAATAAAATCTTTAAAAAGAAGAAATTAATAGTTCAGAGATTTAAGGTGGAACCAGATTTTAATTCAGTTTTTCCAAGTTGTCAGGTTACTTGTTCATTAGTTTAAAAAAAAACCCAAAAGCCAAGCAAGGTCAAACTTTTGGGTTTGATGGGTCAAACCCATCAAACCTGACTGACCTATTGATGTTAGCCCCAAAAAACTTTCCCGGCTTCTTTAGCTCCCCTGCTTCCTTCTGCAGTTGACGAGGGAGGTGAACTCGTGCTGGCCGGCACTGGGGCCTGTTGTGGGGGGCCGCCCCTCCTGGCTGGGGGCACCCCCAGGCCACACCCTCTTCTCAGCAGGGGAAGGTGTTTCTCTGTGATGCTGGGGTCCTGGAAACAGTGGTGTTGCTATGGTAGAGCGAAACGTTGACGTTTTCTCCTTCCCTCGTCAGCTGGCGTACTGTGTCGTGCAGTTTCTGGAGAAGGACAGCACCCTCACGGAACCAGTAAGTGCCACCTGCCGGCCCCCCGCCCCCCACTGTCTGCTCGGCACACAGCTGTCCAGCTCTTTCCCCCCGAAGTCCAGTCCTGATGAGCACACCGGGTTCCCTCGGGCATTGCAGGTGCTCCGGGGGGCAGTCCACTGAGTGACGGGGCCCTTGACTGCAGTGACGATGTACGCTGTGGTTGTCGCCTTGTCCCTTGTTGTACTTGGAACGCAGAGCGCCGGGCACCTGTCACCACTGGCTCATGTGCAGTTTAGCACCTCCCTTCTCTCGGTCCAGCAGCACTTTCAACTGCCCGCAGTCGGAGGGACTGCAGGGAGCGCCTGGTACCATGGGACCAGGGAGGTTCTCCTCTCAGGAAAGTCCCTCCACACTGGAGTGACTGTCCTCCGATCATCGCATCACAAGTGAATGTCTCATGGCTGCCATTCTGTGTTTAGATTTGTCAATTTGTTGTCACTTTATTTTCATTAAAAATACAAAATTCGCCCTGGCTGGTGTAGCTCAGTGGATTGAGTGCCAGCCTGCAAACTAAAGGGTTGCCAGTTCAATTCCCGGTCAGGGCACATGTGTGGGTTTTGGGCCAGGTCCTCAGTAGGGGGCACTTGAGAGGCAACCACCTGATGTATCTCTCACATGTCGATGTTTCTTTCCTTCTCTTTCTCCTTCCCTTGCCCTCTGTCTAGAAATAAAGTAAATAAAAAATTTTAAAAATAAATAAGAATACAAGAGCTATCGTAGCCTAGATTAACAAGATTGGGCATGTCAGGTGCTGGGCAAGCATTTGAAGACACTTTAAAAGCAACCTTATTGAGGCATAATTCCTGTACCACACAACTCACCATTTACTACGTACAGTTCGCTGGGTTCGGTACATTACACATTAACCTCTTTTGATTTCCAGCTGTGATAGAGGACCGCCCAGAGGGAGAGGCATCAGTCTGCTGCTCCACTCACGGTGCAGTCCTTGGTTTTCCACGGTTGTCCCAGCTTCCCCAGTTGCACTCCCCGCCCTGCCCACCCCGAGTGGGTTGACTCTTCCACGTCTCCTGGCGGGAGAGTGGGCCTGCCCCCTTGGTGTGTTGGGACGACGCTCTAACCAACTGAGCCGCCCGGCCAGGGAGGAACTTTTTGAATTGTGGTAAAATGCACATGGCGTGAACTCTGCCTTTTCAGGTGTAGTTTTAGGTGTGCAGTTCATTGACATAATAAGATTCACAAAAGCGTGTAACTGTGGCCACTGTTTCCGAAGCTTTGTCACCTCCCGGCCAGAAACTGCACCCACTGAACCCTAACTCCAGCTCACTTCGTGTCTCGTAGAGGTTTTCGCACCATTGAAAACACTGAATGTGCACATGTACACACACACAGTGTCTGTGTGTGTGTGAATGCACACGAATGGTCAGCTGTCTGAGAAATGGGCTCTGCGCACGTGCCTGTGCTGCCGGCAACTTCAGAACTGGCCGCCAGGCACCGGATGCGCCGGCTCGTGCGCGCTGCGTGTGTCCACTGGCCCCTCCTCCCTGAACTGCCCCAGCTGCCTTTCCTGCCTTTTCAGAGGGACTGACACTGGAACTGGTCAGAGTGAGTGGTTCACCCACATTGAACTTGAGGTTCTAAAGCATTTCAGATTAGACCCGCAACTTTACAGTTAGCTTCTCCAACTATAAAACCCAGGCAGTAAGTGACCGATCACCGTCCCTCCTGCAGGGAAGCTAGCCCCGCCTCACTTTGCTGCTCTGCAGTGAGGACCCCAAACCAGCTTCAACGTGCGTTGGCACTGGGACGTCACCCACTGTGTGCTTTTCCTTCCCCAGGTGGTAATGGCACTTCTCAAGTACTGGCCAAAGACCCACAGTCCAAAAGAAGTAATGTTCTTGAACGAGTTGGAAGAGATTTTGGACGTGATCGAACCCTCGGAATTCGTCAAGATCATGGAGCCGCTCTTCCGGCAGCTGGCCAAGTGCGTCTCCAGCCCGCACTTCCAGGTACGGGTGTAGGGGCGCAGGGGCCGGGAGTGGCCGGTCATGCCGTGCTTCCCACGTGATTTGAAGGTAAACTTCAGGGTTTTACTTTTAATCATACTTCAAAATAAGAGGCTGGCTTTAATTCTGTGAAACATACTTCAGTATCTTGTGCCCATTACTGGAAACATTTCTTGGTAGGAACAGTTAAGAGTGACGGCTCTGAAAAGCCATCTCTGTCTTTCTGTTCAGCCTGCCCCAGAAGGCACACAGCCCTGTGTTCCACAGCCGACACCATGACGCCAAACCTCCGTTCCGAGTTCTCCCTCCTGAGGCTCGTTGTCTCTGACATCACATAGATCCTCTCCCTTCACCCTTCACCCTTCACCCTTCACCCTTCACCCTTCAGAAGAACCCCTTAGTCCTGGTTCTTGTCACTACGGAATTCTCAGTCCAGTCACTTTCCACTTCCTTTCCTGATTTCCTTCTTAACCTCTTCAGGGCTTTTTCAGAGATTGCCCCAGCAGCTTTATTCCACCCCTCTGCCCCCACCCTGTGTCTCCTTGAGCAGACACCTACTGTAAACTGACCACGAATAAGGTAAAAACCGAGGCTCAGAATGAGCACACTCTTGCGGTCCCCAGGGGGCTGGTGACCCAGCAGAGGAGGGCCAGCACAGCCGCATGGGACATGAGTGTACACGCCGCCCCAGCCCCCGCACCCCATACCCTCAGCCAGCGCCGCGCCTCCCTCGTCTCCCCCACAGGACCCCCCACTTCTGACCCATCAGAGAAGTCACCTACCACACGTCCCCTCCAACTGGGCGTAAGCCCCACGAGGGAAGGCCAGGGTTTCTGGCTCACCTTGACCCCTGCTGCGCCATGTGGGGGGGGGCGGGGGGCAGAGGCCACTGAACGGGGGGCCCAGGTGACTGTCCTCAGCACGTAGCCCAGGGTCTGGGGTGAGTGTCCACTGAGTAGGTGGTGCCACTGTCCTGGTGCACGAGAAGCCCCGGTTCTTCAGCGTGACGGTCCAGGGCACCGACGCCCAGCCCTCTTCATCTTGTGGCACGAGCTACTCACTAAAGTTGTGCAGTACACCAAAAAGTATGTTCTGCTTTTTGCCAATCTGACCAAAAAATAGGTACAATTCTGATCGATTTACAAAACAATAATGATAGTAGTAGTGACCTACCTTTTTGCTCCAAAGTGACTTTTTAAAGAATCAGGTGCCTGTACCTGTACATAAGGGTTTCTGGTACCAAGAATTAACCAGAAAGACAAAATGTTTTTATGTAGCGTGATCAGTAAAATGCAGGTGCATTATATGACCTATGTGTTTATGGTTCAAGACGGGGCATTCACACTGGGTCACTATTGTCATGTTGGCCGTTGTCACTCTTTTATTTGACAATCTAACAGGAAAAGGTCAGTGCCCCTGAATAAATAGTTAAGTACTGCACGCATTGAATATTCTTGCCCCACACCAGATAAAAATCTGGTCTGAGGTTCTCTGAACTTGTAGGAATAACAACTTCCTAACACAGGGCCCTTCACCACCCCGCCCACAGGGGTGGGAGGGAGGATGTGTGCTGAACGGTTTCCGTCGTGACCCAGAATAAAGCGCATGCTTCCTGTCTGCCAGGTGGCGGAGCGAGCGCTGTACTACTGGAACAACGAGTACATCATGAGCCTCATCAGTGACAACGCCGCCAAGATCCTGCCCATCATGTTCCCGTCCTTGTACCGCAACTCGAAGACCCACTGGAACAAGTGAGCAGGGCTGGCCACCACCGCATCTACGCGTTTTGTTCTGTGTTTTTTAACTTTTAAGATTTTATTTATTTACTTTTAGAGAGGAAGGGAGGGAGAAGGAGAGGATGAGAAACAGCGATATGCAAGAGATACATCGATTGGTTGCCTCTCACACACCCCCACCTGGGGACCTGGCCTGCAACCCAGGCCTGTGCTCTGACCAGAATTTGGCGACCCTTTGGTTTGCAGGCAATGCTTACAATCCTCTGAGCCACACCAGCCAGGGCTCTAATTTTACTTTTTAATCTCAGTTTGCATTCAGTGTTATTTGTGGTCGTTTCAGCTGTAGCATCTGCATCTTTTCACATTTGCATATTCTGCTCATACTTCAAACCACTTAAGACTGAAATCCAAGTCTGAAATACCTGTCACGAAACAAGATGTTGATCTCTCTGTGGACTTGTGATTAGTGGAAGTGTGGTCCGTCATAGGCCCGCCCCTCCGCCTTCCAAGCCCACGTGCGTTCACCAGCGCCGTCCTGGGCCGTGCGAGCAGCAGTGTCTTGATAATTCCCTCCGGAGGACTCGAAGGTCCCTGCAGAGCTCACAGGGCTCAGCTCCTGCAGGCGCACAGTGGCCACCCCTCCTGGGGCCCTCAGGCCCTGCGTCACACGCCCCGGTGAGCCTTCCTGTGTGACCAAGAACCACCTGCCGTGCCCCTGCCTGGAGAGCAGGTGACCCAGACAAGGCCCGAGGAGCCTCAGACGTGCTCCTCTTCTCCTGACGGTTCACAGAAGAGGGCGCAGGGACCGGTTCTCTCCCCAGGGCCCCCCTGAGACCTTCGCCTCGGCGTGGGCACCACCTCCTCGTGGCAGGTGGCACGGGCACTGGAGCTGTTTACATAGTAAACATGGGCGTTGGGCGGCCCTGTCTGCCCTCATTTCCCTCCTTCCTGTGTGCTAAGCAGTAAGTCGGAATTCAAAGCAGGAGGGAGCCGAGCCAGGACCTCTAGTCCCCCCCCCCATGCACGAGGGAGGCAAGTGGGCTCGGGGGCAGCAGCCCGGCCTGGGTGGCAGGTGTCCACCCGCAGCCAACCAGGGCTCCCGGCTGGCTCCCCGCTCTGAGGAGCAGAGAATGTTGGCTCCCAGCCGGGTTCTTGTGAAAACCAACTGAGACGATGTTAACACACAGATGCCATGGTTTTTGCGCTTCACAGATGTGGTGTTTACGAATTGAAGGCATGAGCCTCCACCAGCAAAAAAGGTGACCACTCCCTCTGTGGTGGTGGTCTGGGAACAGGCCTGCTGTGTTGCTTCAGTGTGCCTGGACACACGGCACTCGGCTGTGCAGTGACCCTCACCTGGAGGTGGAGGTGCATTAAGGTGAAGTCAACAAAGTCCTAACTCCTGGCGGCACCCTGCAAACACTCACCGCAGTCTTGGGCCCGGAAGTGCCCCCAAATAGCCCAGTCGTCGTTGATAAGTTCACTTGGAACTGCCACTCCAGCACCTCCTGTCGCCGAGTCCAGCGGTGACAACCGAGTTCCTGTGCGCACCTGAGCACAGCTCCTGCCCAGTGGACAGGAAGAAAGGCTCTTTTAAGTGTTGCCTGCATATGACTTGGGTTTTTATCTTAAAGTTAATTAAAGAGTAGTGACAGTATGAAAGTTTAATTTTTGTTTCGGGTTTTGGTTACACTACTCTTTTGTTGCTGCTCACAATTCCACGGGGGGACAGGGCTCTGCTGCGCAGTTTTGCTGCCAATCTCCCCGGGGGTCACTCGTGTGGCCACACAGGTGGCAGCTGGGACTTGAGCCCCCCAAGGCTCTACTGGGATGCGAGGCGGCTGGGCCCCTCCCGTGTGTCAGAGCCTGCAGCCCAGTGTGACCGAGCTGCCCGGTGGTGGTCCATTCTCTGCCTGCCAGAGCTCTTCAGGCATTACTCAGACTGGTTCTTCTGTCCTCGGTGAATAAGATGGAAAGAAAGCTGACGTGTAGTAAATGAGGTGTTGCCATTGTTTTCTGTATGGTTAGGTTCATCTTAGCTGCACTTGTTCAAGTTTCAGCATTTTTGTTCAGTGCCGGTGAGCCAGGGCAGTGAGCTGAGGGGCCTGCGGCCAGCGAGCAGGGCCGTGAGGGGGCTCAGCGGTGCAGGGCCGCCTGCAGCAAAAGGAACAAGTGAATCTGAAGGAGCAGCTTCTTTATTTTAAAGCTTAAGAAATTTGCAAACTGTTGCAATAGCCTGATAAGTGTGGAGAAGAAGTCGACCACTGGGGGCAGGTGGTCAGGCCTTCTGGATTCCAACACCAGGTTTCACTTCTAGGACAATCCACGGCTTGATATACAACGCCCTGAAGCTCTTCATGGAGATGAACCAGAAACTGTTTGATGACTGCACTCAGCAGTTTAAAGCAGAGAAACTGAAGTAAGTTGCTCTTCTCCAAAGTCACTCTTTCAAGGATGATGTTTTCCTTAATCCTGAATACACCTCTCCCGTTGGTTTGTCCTAATGTTATTCTTCACGTTAAAGCAAAATAGTCCTTTTATATTCGGAGCGCAAATAGAAAGTTGGTTGTGAGAACCTTGGTTTCAGAGCACACACACCTACAGGGAGCTGTTTTCCCCTCCGCGCTGCTAGTTTAGTCGTTTTTGCAGAAGTGCATGTGCAGCCAGGAACTCAGCTCCCAGGGTTTCTGCGTTTCTCAGGGACGCTTAGAGGCTGTGACGGGTAGTGGTTTTCGTGTTCCCGAGACAGGAGGGTAAATCTTTAATCCGTTCTGTACGATTCAGATGAGCACAGAAGAGCCTGCCCCTCGCACAGCTCCACTCTGGCCGGTGACGCCCATTCCACGGGCGCCCCGGGGTCGGCCTGTGTCCTTCACAGAGCCTGGCCCCCGTCCACACTGTCTAGGGGCAGTTTAGGTGACAAGGCGCTCTGTCCCTTGTAGTTGCGTGATAATTAGTTATCAAAATCCCAACTTCAGGGACAGCGTTATAAACTGCTGGAGCTTTTGTCCTTTACTTGTCACTTGAAACTGACTTCTGTAGGTCCCCTTCAGTGCAGGTCAGTCAGGTTACAGTCGGTGTGACCAGCAGTCACCTCCACTGTGCACCTGTTCTGGTTCCGGCCTCACTGCCGTGACCGAAAGCAACAAAGGCCTGCTTCTTGGAAGTGTACGTCCTGGGTGGTGTGGGAAGAGCAAGGCAGCCGGGTCCGAACAGGTGAGGTGTCCAGTGCGAGCCAGAGGCGCGTGGCAGGGGCTCGGGGAGGCCGTTTCCGCACCCCGCACCCGCCTCGGCTCAGTTGCTCGGTGCAGGGCTCGGAGGCGGGGGCGGCCTGCTCTGGAAGGTGTCACAGCTTTCGGAATGGGCCCTAAAGGTTGCGTCGCACGGTTCACGAACAAGTGAGCTCAGCGGCGGGCGGGAGGCCGGGTGACCCCCCCAATGGCGGCATCAGACAGGGCCGCTGGTGTGTAACGTCAGCCTTGGGGGGCCGCCATCTCACCGCATTTCCCGTGTCCCGCCCACAACCGGACGGCGAAGGGGGCAGGGCCATGCCGCTGCTTGCGCGGGGGTCTCCCCGCAGTCGTTCCTGAATTTGCTCCATCTCTCTAACCCCAGTGACCTTTTACTGTTTTTCAGAGAGAAGCTAAAAATGAAAGAACGAGAAGAAGCATGGGTTAAGATAGAAAATCTAGCCAAAGCAAACCCCCAGGTACTTAAAAAGAGAGTAACTTGAAAATGTCTCAGGTGGGACTGCGTATTTTTATAAGACAGGCCTGTGGCTGCGTCGCGGGGGGCGGGAAATCGTGCTCACGGACGTTGTGTATGGAAATATCCGCAATAAAAATGCTTATCAACTTCTGTACAGGTGCTCATTTTGCCCCAGGCTGTTTTTGCCACAGGACCGATACTTTTCTCCTGCTTTTTAAGTGAGATACGAAAGTGGTGAACGTGCTGTGGTAAAAAGAAGCCGGGACACAGCTTCTGTTGGGGCCAGCGTTGTAATTTGCTTTCCTTTGTAAACGTCATAGATGCCGTGGCTCAAACTGTACTTCCGTCTTTTTAATAGCGGATTCTATCTAAAAGAAAAGGAACGAGATTTGGGGTCTATTAAGTGTAAAGTTTATGTCCTCTTCCCTAAAACCGGGTTTCTGTAGGCTGAGCCTTTGCCATTAAAAATCGCCGGCCTGTGTCCTCGGAGCAGCTGTGCCCACCCCGTCCGAGCCAGGAGAGCCGCACCTGGCACGCGGCGCCAGTGCCCTGTCTCCCGGGTGGCCGGCTGCAGAGCCACAGGGGCAGTAACTCTCGGGTCGTTGCCTCCGGGGTGGCTGGGCTCTGGGGGCTCAAGTCATGGTCTTCAGTGTCCCTCCCATCTTCGGGTCCCCGTGGCAGGAGCCCTGTCACGGCACACGCCTCTCTGGGTGTGGAGTGCCTGCCGCTTCCCGATGGCGTTTGTATGGACCTCTGTCACGTGAAGAGTTCTCAGGCTTTCCCCAGCCCCCAGAAGAGGGAAGACTTGGCTGTGTAAGGACGGCTGTCCCTGAAGCCCTGAAAGGTTCCGTAAGGGAACGAGACCGGAAGCAGTGTGTTTGCTTTGCTGAGAGGTGCACATGAGTAACTAAAACATATCTCATAACTAAGCTGGTATGAAGGCTTTTAAATCTCTCTCACATTTCATAACAAGCGAGGGATGAATACAAAGTGAAAAGTGTGTTTTGCCTATATACTAACATGTTGGTTTGTATTTCCTTTGCTAAAACTGTGATCCAGAGACACCATAGGGAAATTGAGTGACATTCTTAAATATTTCCTTGATTCTACCTGAAACGAATAGCGATGTTCATTCCTCCGTGTGACACGGCAGTGCCCGTTTAGGATGCCGTGACGCTGCGGTGTGCGTGCCTTGGGCGGACCGCCGGGCAGCGGCTGCACAGGCTAGGGCTCACGCTGGAGGTGGGGCTGGGCGCGACGTCTGCGCAGAAGCGCAGTGAAGCCGCAGACCCGGGCGGTGTCGGCGCGAGGCGCAGTCGACAGAGCGACACACACACTCCAGACCGACCCCCTCGAAACCACACAAGACAAGAGTGTGTCTTCTGTGTGTGTGACACCCGTCAGGGTGTGTGTGCTGGTTTTGCCTAGAACACAGACGTGACCTCGAGAGAGGCTGCGTGAGTGTCTGTGTTCCGGAGGGAGGGGGCAGGGCGGCCGCGTTCACAGGCGGGACTGGGTTCTCCGCCGAGCCGTAACAGCCGTTCCCCCGAAACGTGTGCCGATGCGAACTGCCCCTGTGTTGTCTGGTGTTGCCTATTCCATTCCTTCTGGCTGCTCTCCTCACCGCTGTCCCGGTCACCAGGGCAGCGTGCAGGGTGTCTGCGCCTGGGCGCTGCCCTGTGGGGACCTGCCCTCCATCAGCGCCATCTGCCTCCTCATTCCTGTGTTGAGACATCTGTGACTCGCCCCTGAGCGCCCTCCTGTGTGAACAAACGGAAAATACTTCATGGGCTGGGCCGGCGTGACTGGGGTTAGGGCCCTGGGCCCGCTTCGGGTCTCGCCAGAGAGTGTCTCTTCTGAATTCTAGTCACTGCTTGCCACTCACAACAAAAAGTTAATAATTTGTGACAAAAATAGTTGGGTATTTGAAGCTTGGTTCTCGAGTTCAAATCTGCCTTTCTCAGAATTGATTTAACGGCTTCCTCTTTGAAGGTGGACCCCCAGCAGTCCGCTCTGTTTCCTGATGCGTATCAAGGCGCCTTCCATTTGGTTCCTCCGGTTTTCTTAGGAACCACGTGTTTCGTGCCTCTTGGCCGTGCGCACCCGGGAAGGGGGCGCCTCCATGGCGTTGAGTCTGTCCTGGCAGTGACAGCAGCTTCACAGGGGGTTAATGTCATCGACCAAAAGAGGTCACGTCACATTCTACTACTTCTCTCTCCCTGACGTTCCCGGGATGCGTGTGGAGTGACGACAGGCACTTCCGGGAGCCCTGAGCGTGGCTCTGGTGTGCCCTTCGGGCAGCAGGACTGGGGGATGCTGCAAGGGCCCGGCTGCCTTGCCTTTGAGAGATGAGGTTGCCTGGGGCCGTGTGTTCCTCTGCCCTGTTGTGAACTTGAGCCTGCATGGAGGTTTCTGTTCCTAGGAAGGACCTTCCCCTGCCACGTGGCATGTGTTCTGCCGTGAGCATGTTATAGCAGCCTCACCGACCTGTTCTCTGCCCGGGCCCTTCAAGGACTAGGAGCCCGCGCCGCCCCCAGTGCAGCCCGCTGCCGCAGTCTGGGGGCACGCTCCCTTTCTGCTCAGAGGGGCCAGGAACTGGCCTGCTGGTTCAGTATCAGTCCCTGCACCCCCACAGGAGGGTCGCAGCTACTGTCACCTCGGTCTGGCCCAGTGGCTGGGAAGCCTGGAGAGGATGAGGCACTGTGCCATGTCCCCATCTCCCCCAAGCACAGGTGGGCAGATGGGTGCCAGCTGTGAGTTTCCCGAGACAAAGATGAGAGCCAGAACATAGCCCCCAGCTTCACGGAGCTGACGGCCACGAGAGGCCGGACAGGGGTGGTCAGGTTGCACCCACTGCACCCACTGGGTGAGGAGGGCAGGAGGGCAGGAGGCCCGGGCCCACCTTCAGAGAGGGGCAGGTAAAGAAAGGGTGCAGGTTTGGGAGGCCACAGCCCAGGTGTCCCGAGGGGCCTCAGCCCAGCAGGAGTCTCAGCTGAGGGGACTTAAGCAGTCTGAATTCCCAGGAAGGGGCTCAAGTCCGAGCGAGGACAGCCGCGTCCTTCAGCACTGATGGCCTCCAGACAGTGGAGGAGGGGCCGGGTGTGCTCTGCTGGGGAGAGGGGACAGGAGTGTGGGTCTTGTCTGTGTGTGCGCTAACGTGTCACAAAGAGCCAAATGGCCTCATCAGACCGCATTTTAGGCAGCTGATTCTGACAGCTGCTCGGAGGGAGGAGCCGCAGGGCCTAGCACGTGGGGGGCCCTGCTGAAGCAGGTGTGAGGGTGGGGCCCCAGGAGTGAGCAGCCACCACGGGGACAGGGTTCGGGGGTGTGGAAGGTGCAGGTGAACAGGGCGGGGTCTCAGGCATGATGTGGGACCCCACCGGGTGCGTGAGTTGGGCAGGGCCTGTTCTGAAGGGCTGGCAGGAGGTGACACGGGAAGCCGGGGGCACGGGGGCATTCTGGCCACAGACAGGTCCAGGAGGATAGAAACCAAAAGATGGCTCAGCAACTAGAAGATGGCCCCAGAACAGGCTAGTGGCCGTGGTCCCATCACAGGGGTGAGAGGCCTGTCTGCCATTCACACTGAGCCCAGAGCCCAGGGGGAGTGGGGAGGTGGCAAGGAAGCCACCAGGAGGCCCATGGGCCCAGGGGACACTGGTCCTTCCCTGTAGTGCCAGCTCAGTGTGGCAGCTGTGCGGGCTGGGTGTGGACGAAGGGTAGGGTCCATGGCGGGGCTGAAGCAAGTTAGAAAAAAGGGTCAAGGATCCAGGAAGGAGGATTCGAGAGGAAAGGGAAGGGCCCTGGGTCGGCAGGTGGTGTGCGAAGGTTGGGAAGTCAGAGGCAGCAGGCCCGGCACAAACGAGGCCCCAGTGACTGGTCCAGGGCGCACCCTCGCTGCTTCCATGGAGTCAGGACACCGAGGACTGCGAGGTGGTGGCACCAGCTCTCCCCAGCCCTGGGGGCCGGGTGAGCAGCGTGACCACTGAGGCCGGTTCTGCCCTCCCACCCGCATGTGGCCAGAGCGGTAGGGGCTGCAGAGGTCTGCGGCAGGGCCAGGGCCCTGCCGGAGGAGGCGGTGGAGGGCCCTTGGGGGCATTGGTGGGAAGTCTCACCCGCCAGGAGGAGCCCCTGGCGCCCGGCCCAGGCGCTGCCAGAGAGTGACTCCACACTTTGCATTGCAGTACACAGTGTATAGTCAAGCGAGCACGGTGAGCATCCCGGTGGCAATGGAGACAGATGGGCCCTTATTTGAAGATGTGCAGATGCTGAGAAAGACAGTGAACGAAGAGGCTCGCCAGGTAAAAGTGCGCAGAGCTCAGCTGGGAGGCGCTTGCTGGAGATTGGCTTCAGAGATGCATGTACCTGTGAGAGGTGATGCTGTCGGCAGGGGCTGCCGTGTAAGCCAAGGTTAAAGTCAGACTGCAGCGGCCACATGGGAAACATTTCACCTGTGCCTCTCAGGGTCGACTTACTGGAAATGGTCCTAAGGGTTAAGTGTGTGCCTGTGACCCGTCTCTCCCTCTCCCTTGGGGGCGGCAGCAGCAGCAGCAGCCCCACCCTCACCTGCTCTTTCCATGTTAACTTGAGCACAAAGTCAAGAGCTTCGCAGTAATTAATGTCTTGCCGCTGTCCTCTCCTCCTGCCTCCCCCCGACTTCCGCACTGGCCCAGCGGGTGCCCGCGAGGCCCCCGTTGCACTTACAGCCCAGCTCGGCTGCCCAGATGCCAGGGCGGCCTGGGCAGGGCCCGTGCCCTGGTGGGGTGCCCGGGCCTGCTGGGGCAGTGCCCATTGGTCCACAGGTGGACCCGTTACTCAGCTGAGAATATCCACGACGTGGGCATCAGAGAGGGTCACACACAGTCTCCTGCCCGTGCGCGAGGAGCCTTTCCGTGCCGGGACTTTCAGAGGACGCCTCCCTGTCTCCCTTCCTGTAACTGACGTAGTGCCGGCCAGGCTGGAGACGTGGGCCTCTGACTGCGAACCTGAATCCCCTCAACCAGGGAGGTTTCTAAAGACGCCCGCACTGGAATTCTGACATGTGAGAGGCCGAGTGCCCGGAAGTGCAGTGCGTATAGCCCGCAGACGGCTCATCAGTGCTAGCGTCCTTCAGAGCTCCGTGAACCAGAGGGGCCCTGTCATCGGTTTGATTTCAGCTCAAGGAAGTAGCTCTCCCACCCGGTCAGACAGGACCAGACGTTTCCCAGAGCACCAACCAGACCACCTAGGCCACGCTGCCCAGCCCGCAGCCACAGCCTCGTGGTCGTCGCCACAAACTATGCCGTCACCGGCATTTGGGAGTTGCCAGGCTTGCCAGGAGGAAAAGCATGTGGAAGCATTATTTCTCACTTTCCATTCTTTTCCTTTTTTTAAAGATTTTATTTATTATTTTTTTAAAGAGAGAGGGGAAGGGAGGGAGGAAGAAAGAGAGAAATATCAATGTGTGGTTGTTTCTCACGTGCCCCCCACTGGGGACCTGGCCTGCAACCCAGGCATGTGCCCTGACTGGGAATTGAACCAGCAACCCTTTGGTTTACAGGCCAGTGCTTAGTCCGCTGAGCCACACCAGCCAGGAGTCGCTTTTAATTTTTTACCATACGTAGAAATGAGTATTTTGGTTATGCTGGGTTAAATTAAACATTCAAATTAATTTTGCCTGTTGCTATTGCTTTTTACTTTGTTGACATGGCTACTAGAAAATCTGGAATTACGTATGCGGCTGGCATGACTTTCAATTGGGCGGCCCTGGTCTAGACGCTCTTTCTCGGGGCTGCAGGCGGCGCCTGCGCTGGCCACGGCCATGCTGCTGCTGCCGGCCAGCTCCCAGCTGCAGGTTAGAGTGGAAAGCAGGCGCGCCCCCTTCAGCTCATCAGAATGGGAAGCACAGTGCAGAACTCAGTACGCCCCTAGTGAACAACAGCGACTCATTTTTTACTTAATCCACAAATTCCATAATTTTCTGACAGTTAATAATTTTATCAGTGAGACAGACTTAATAAAAACCATAAAAATTCTTACATTTTCCTGTTTGTGGGAGTGTTCATTTTTCTCCTTGATTTTTTTTAACTTGGAAAGCAATTTGAGGTCCTCGTTTTGATTACCATTTTGGTCTGACAGCTTAAAGTGTGCTAAGGAGCAGGCAGGCAGGCGGAGGAAATCAAATCGCTGCCCTTCCCCGGGGGCCTGCCCGTGAGCTTGTAACCACATGTTCGTTTTTAGTCCGTCCACAGGGGAGGAGGAGATTGATGGTTTGCAAGCCAGTGCTTTCACGTTCAGTATCTTAGGGTTGGAGAATTTTTCTTTTTGGTACGTCCTCTGACTTGATGATTAAAGCCAGGAAGAAAACAAACTGTCCAAAAAGTAACGAATATCATACATAATTGTGTGACTTATGGACATAGTTATGACATAGGACCTCCTCTGCAGAAGGTCATGAGCTTGGTCAAGAACGCAGACCGAGCTAGCATTCTCCTCTGCAACAGGGCCTCTGGAAGCAGCACTTGCCTCGGGGAGACAGCCAGGACCCAGAAACCCTCCGACCGGGCGGTCCCTGCAGAGGGCAGCTCTCCCTGCCGGAGGAGCGCTCCCCGTGGGATGGGGAGAGGCCCATCCACGTAATTCATTGCAGACAACGGGCATGTGGGCAGGACGGTTTCGGGGGGACTCAGAGCACGTTTGTTTTTACGTAGATCTTGACATTAGATTGCACGACGCAGTTTTTTCATATAGTTGACATTCTTTCAAAAATGATCCCCCTTACCTTCAGATTTCTGTGGGTCACGTTCCAGGGTTGGAAGCCTCATGCCATTAAGACCCTAGCAGTTCTCCCCAAATGAACACTGTCTTGGGCAGAGTCCCAGCGGCAGGCAGATCCTTAAAGTCTCATGGCACCACAGAGAACCTAGAATAGCCAAATTAATGCCAAAAAAAATGAAGTTAGAGGATTAACACTCTCCACCTGCAGGACTTCCTGTGGATTTCTGCGGGTCAGCTGAGTCCCCCTCCAGTCTCAGCCTGTCTAGATAAAGACATTTGTGGTGCAGTCTGCTAGGTACGATATTTGATATGCTGGAGCCTTCTTCACTGGAGACTGTTGGCAGTCATGCCCCTGGAGTTCCCAATGACTGTTGCCAGAGCACAGGGAAGACACCAAGATGCACGGGACCGTCCGTGTGCACCTGGGGACCACACCGACAGAAGCCCCAGCTGAAAATTAAGTTTTTAATATTTCCAGTGCCCTTTTAATTTTATTTTCAACTAATTTGATTTTTCCAAAATAACTCCACATTTCTTCAGAATGCCTCCAGCGCATTGCGGGGGGGCCTCTGAAAGCTGGGGCAGGGGTAACTGGTAGGAACCACGTGCAGAGTCTCAGCCGCATGTGTACGTGTCCGAACCCCATTTGATTTCCGTTGAGAAACTTGTGTAGCCCCACCTGGAACATCCTAAGAAACTTTGTGTGAATGACGTTCACATCAGAGACATTTAAAATGTTTACAGTTCTCATTTTTAACAGTCGGGACAAAAGCAGTGGCAGCCATGTAAATCAGGAGACTAGAAAAACAGACGAGAGGTGGGAGGCGCAGGTATTCAGGACTCAGTCTGTAGAGTGCATTAAGGCTCTTGTACTAGGGGAAGAGTCGACACACTTGTGTGCACATGAAGTATTTTCCTGTCATCCAGCTTGTGGTGGTGAGGGCCAGGCAGTCTGGTCCCGCGAGAACCGTCCCCTCATCCTTCTCTGCCTCCAGCAGTAAAGTGCCCCTCACTGTGTAAATGTAGCCTCTCCCTTAGATCTGCCATCAGCTACAGAACAGGCCGTCTCTTCCCGGGGTGGGGGGCATCCTGCACAGAGACATCCCAGTCCTGGCACACCATCTGTCCTGTCTGTCCTGTCTGTCCTGTCTGTCCCGGCTCTGCCACCTGTCCTGCCCACCACCAGCATGTCTGCAGCACATCCTCTCCACCAAGTGTTGGGTGGCCATCTGCATGGTGTCTCATGCCGTCCTGCTCTCGTTTCTCTGAAATGACTCACTGCACACGGCGGCGCCCGTCACACCGGCCCTTGCAGGCGCTCAGGGCCTGTGTGTGCTCTCAGACTGCATCTGCTGGTCCAGCTCCAGGGTTCCTGCTGGTGCCTTTTTCCAGCAGAATGTTTCCTCCCCATCTGGGACCGCTGTGTCAGTAGTCATTGCCCCTTCGGGCAAGAAACTCCTGGTTCTGTCTGGCTTTGCTGTGCTTTGTTTTATAACTCGCTCTGCAGTGGACGTAACACTCAGGGTGAGGTTTCCCTCCCAGGGTCCTGTGGGTCGAAAGTAACCCGCCTCCCAGATGAAAGCACTCTTCGCCAGTACTGGGACTGACGCACTCAGCCCCACAGTCTCCGATATGCGGGGCTTTCCAGGGAAGTCAACCCCCTGCCTTCGCCATGAATGACTGTCATTATCCAAATAACATTTTAGAAATAGTCTTGATGTCACACGGAATTATTTCCAAACTTTGCTCTTACTGCTGTTTGAGGAGGTAGTATGCAAAGAACCCTAAGAAATGCTAGCTCTGTAAAAATGTGAGCTTTTCACGTGTGACTTCTGCAGGTTCTTGAATTTTTTTCATTAAAGCAAAGTGTGCTGTACCGACTGTACCCGAGTTAGGCCCAGGCTCAAGGTTCTGGCCGCTCTTCCGTGTGCGCACAGCCTCGGGTGCGTTCCAGCGGCTGGTCATCGAGTGTCAGAGACACTGTCAGCGCAGCGGCCTTCCTTCCGAGGGAAGGGACTCGTGTGTCGGCCACTCGTGGGGACGGGTGTTCGCGGGTGTCAGCTGCCCGCACGAGGCCCCCTTTCTTTGCAGAGTTCTCCGAATCCTCATGCAGACGTGAGGTTTCTTTAAGTAAAGCCCACCTGTTCTAAACCTCAGGAAGAGAATGGGATGGAAGAGGGAGCCCTTTACTTCCTGTACTTACTGTTGGGAAAGCAAATAAAAACAGGTTTTCTAAGTTTTAGAAGGTTTCTCCCCCACATGACCCATTTAATAACCTCTTAAAGGATCTTTTTTCAAGTTTTATATAACTTTGAGACTTTTTCAATTCAGTTTAAACTATTTTTAGTTCATTTTTATTTACCTACAAAGGAAATCTCACCGTTTTGAAATGTTTCTGGAAGGGACAGAGGCACAGAATGGCTTTGGGAACATTTCATCAAATAGGGGGATTTGGTGATGTTTGGGACTGACTGAAAAAAACGGACAAATTTGCCCAGTAGAGGTGCTGAGTGCTCCGGGTGAAAACCCCCGTGTCAGAAGACAGCGCAGTGCTGGGCACACCGTCCTCTCACTGGTCCTGAGATCACTGTTGGACGGACCTGACATTCTGGGGCGATCACCGCCTCTTTGCCCGCCCCTTAGGTCAGAGGGCCCCCGTGAGAGCTGCCCCGCCCCAGAGGCGCACCTGTGTGCCCCGTAGTCAATGCTGCCGCCTTTGTGATTCCAGGCCCAGAAGGACCTGAAGAAGGACCGGGCCCTGGTGCGCCGCAAGTCCGAGCTGCCCCAGGACCTCCACACCAAGACCGCCTTGGAGGCCCACCTCAGAGTCGACGAGCTGCTGTCCCAGGACGGCCGCTAGCCGCCTGCCCGGCTGCCGGCGCGGCCCTGGGTCCATAGAGAACTCACACTTGCGTGCCACACAGATCAGTCACACTCAGAGTCAGAGCTTTCTCACCCGTCCTCCAGACAGTAGCCCGCCCCCCGCACGAGAGCAGGAGTTCAAACAATGGTGACGCAGACGCAGGCAGGGCCACCACGGTGTCCCGTGGGGTCCCCGCCGTGGCAGTGTCCCAGATTCAGCTAAGGCAAGCACCCTGGTCATCACCCTCAGTTCTACCCAAACGGAACTGGCGATCACTGAAAATAAGTGGTTCTTTGAGAATGTCAATGTTTCTCAAATCAAAGGAACACTTTAAAAAAGTATTTTGTATTTTTAAGATTCTACAACCTTTGAAATTGTTTCCATGTGATTGTTTACACCAGCAGTTTCTTCTTTCTTTTCTTCCCCGGTATCATTGAACTGCTTCTCTGCTGTCACTGTTCTAACGTGGACAGCGACGCAGTGAGTGTCCTCGGAGCAGGTCTGTCCCGAGGTCTCCTTCACTTTGAGTAGCGGCAGGGGCACCACGTCCGACTCCTTCCGTGTCTCTCTAAAGCCATATCTGCCCGTCTGTCCGCACCAGGACGCGAGCAGGAAGCTCACAGGAGAAATTTGCCTGACAGAGAAGCTGCCTCTGTCTCCCGTGGCTAGAATGGAATTTTTAAAACAGTGTGTTCATCTTGGGGTTTGCCGAATTCTTTTTTCCGTTCTTACACATTGTTGTCCCTTAACAAGGCTCTTGAGTTAATAAAGTTAGAGTCTAAGAGTTCCACACTTTGTAGCAAGCTGGAATGAGGACATTTTGAGAAGCCAGTTCCCGGCCAAATGCCAAGTGCAGCTGCCTTTGGGCAAAGGTAACAAAAATCACGCCCTGCACGCCAGGCACTGGCGCGACACCGCTCGGAGCTCAGCGGGAGTGACGGCAGTGACGGCGAGGGTGGCCACAGAGGAGTCCCGTTGAGACGAGCACACGTCACACACGCCTCGAAAGGAACACCCAGAGTCTGGCTCTCGGCAGATGCTGCTACCTGTCTCACGCCTTCCTTGCATGTACCAAGCTTTCATTTCGATGGAATAGCACGAGGAAATATTCTTTAAACTTAGTGCTTTGTCTGTTCTTTTTTTCTCTCAGGGTGGCCAGTATTTTGACTTATTTTATCCTGCTTGAAAGCTGTTTGAGATGTGTACTGCTGTTCTAAACAAACGACCCTGGTCTCTTTTGTCTGCAGCATAAGATTATACAAGTTAACGTTAACTGTCTTGATACACAAAGGATAAAACGTGGCTTCTTTTAGGATCTGTCTTCTAATCGAGGTCTTGGCATCCACTCAGATGTTGTGAAAGCAGACATCGCTTCCGCCACCACCGAGGCCCACGGACAGTGCGCGTGTCCTGTGTCTTGGAGGAAGGCCACCTGGGGGCCTCCTTGTGTGGAGCGCACTGGCCGACTGGGAGGGAGCCCGGTGCGGGTGCAGAGCCTGCTCGGTGAGCGGACTCACTTCCTGAGAAACTTGACAAGCCTCTGTCCGTTTTACCATTATGAAATTTACAATTTTCAAAAAGTCTAGATGCCTTCTCCTTTTGAGGGAAAAAGGGTGCTTTTTACTGTATAAAGCAGTGTCTTACGTATTTTGATACACCGTTGTTTGAACTTCGTCTTCGGTTGACACTCAGATAGCCTTGGTTTCGGTGTCTGGTATGTTTGCGAGAGAGCTTTCTGGAAGACTTTTGGCCGAGGGACAAGCAGAGGACCGCTGTTTGGGCGACGGTAAAGCTCCAGGTATAAGAACATCTTTCATCTAGGTTTTATTTCTGCTCTTTATTGAAGACAAACATTCACCAAAAAGGGGGAGAAAAGGTTTTGAGAGAAACTAATTTTCTTTGACAAGAGTATTATTTAATATTTTGGCCTATTAAAGTTTTCCTAGTTAGTATTCAGATTTCCTGTGCTAATTGTTCAACTTATATATTATTATATAGATACACTGTTTATTCTGTACCAAACTGATTCAAAAAGTACTACATTGAAAATAAACTGGTGACTGTTTTTCTTCATAAAGTTCTGGTTTGGCATCTTCACTCTTCCCAACGTACCTGTGCGTCAGAAATGTCACTATTCCGAGTGTCTTTTTAGTGTGGCTTTAGTATGGCTTCCTTTTAATATTGTACATACATTGTATCTTTGTTTTATGGTAATAAATAATAAAATGTAGACTTCATATTTTGTACAAAATGTCCTATGTACAGAATAAAAAATTCATAGAAACAGCAAAGATAGGTAAGTGGCACAATTATTTTTCTTTAGAAAATATCTGTAACTTTATGCTTTAGTGAAATGTTAAGTACCTACATATTTTTTAACATTTTGTAACTCAAAACTTTTGGTTTTGACATTGTTTATGAAGAGAGACTTCATACACTTGCCATTTAATATGCTCTTTTATCTAATTTTAAAAGACTCTAAAAATGGTGTATTATATGGACTGAATAAAGGACATGTGAGTTTTATTGCTCATCATGAAACTAAATCTGGCCTTGGTGTCGGGTGCACTGGTTCTGACCTTTGCCAAGTCGCCAGTGGGCAGGCAGCCGCGCTGTGACGCCGGCTGCGGGCCGGCGGCGTCCGTGTGCAGCCACTTCCCCGGGGGGCAGTGAGCCCCTCTTAACTCCTCTGAGGCAAAAAGCAGGGGTGGCTTTATACGGACCCCCTCAGTCTTGAGTAGGCAGATGGGAATCAGAACAGAATTTGTGGGAATGGAATTCTTGAGCCCTGTGTTTAAAATGGCTCATGAAAAGACATTAATGTCTTGGAAGTAGAGTCACTGAGCATATGACTGGGGGGCCCTAGACGGCCCGCCCCCGCCTGCGGGAGCTCACCCCTGTCACAGAGCAGTCGGCGAGGAGGCCGGGATCAGAACCAGCCGCTGTCACCGTCACCTCTGCTCTCCATCCGCATTCCAGCAGGCGGGCTGTGGCCTGCTCTCAGGGTCTTTGTCTGGCAGACGGGTCTGCGGCCCCTCCCACAGTGGGAGGGGTCGCTGCTGGGGCTGCTGTGTGTGGAAGAGACCCGCCCCAGGTGGCGGGGCCTGGGCTGTCCCCAGCTGTCTGCACCTGAGCCTCTGGGCACCTCCTGGGGATTCTGGAGAACCGCACACCCGCCCGGGAGTGGGCGCGCTGCTCTGGAGACCTTCGGCTCTGCCGTGGCCCCCAGAACGGCTGTCTCCCCAGGCTGGGTGTCCTTGGCCCCGGTCATGAAACTGCAGGAAGCGGCAGCGTCCGGCAGCCTCCTTCAGCTCAAGAATTCTTGACAGGACGTGGGAGAGAGGCGTGCTGCACTGACTTGAAGTAGGAAGTTGTACTTCCTTCGAGGTGGCCAGGGGCCTGAGAGCAAGACTGAACTGCTTTGTGTCACCTGCCATGAGAACTGGTCTGAGACTTTGAACAGTAATGACAATAACTGATTTCTGGCCGTGGCTGGTGTGGCTCAGTGGATTGAGTGCCGACCTGTGAACCAAAGGGTCGCTGGTTCAATTCCGGGTCAAGGCACATGCCTGGGTTGTGAACCAGGTCCCCAGTAAGGGACACATGACAGGCCACCACACATCCATGCTTCTCTCCCTCTCCACTCTCCCCTTCTCTCTCAAAAAATTTTTTTAAAAACATTTCTTCTGATACCTTTATGCCACAGGCTATTTATTGTAGGTGCCTTGTTTACCTGCGTTAGCTCTCGCAACCCACCAAAGTATCTGTCCTCGTCACCATCACTGACACAAGGAAACGGGCGCACGAAGGCAAGGTCACTGGCCAAGGTCACCCAGGTACTGAGTGGAGCCAGATTTCACCCCAGCGCTGTGTAGCCCTGGAGGCCCTGCCCCCACCACTACAGAACACCTGAGACACCCCCAGAGCACTTCAGGGGCAGGCCCCACATCATCCCGGGGTGGCCGTGAACTCCTGAGGGCTTCTGACGCTGCACTTGTAGAACCAGAGGAACCTCAGAGACCAGCCAGCACAGCGGCCTGCACCCCCACTTCAGGGGCTGCTGCGTGTAAGTCAAGTTCTGTGATATTTTAACTATTAAAAACACTCAAACATTACACCAAATTTCAACACTTTAGAGAGCAGAATACTTACTAGCTTCCGTTTTCCTTAACTTTGTTGCCAATATGAACCTGTAAATTTATTTGTTTAGTATGCGGCTTACATAAGACCTTGCTGCAGGCAGGGGTGGGGGAGCGGAGTGAGTTCCACTGCCAGAAAGTCTGAAATCTACTAAGAGTTAACACTTTTCTGGAGAAATAAGTCAAAATACTTCCCCCTGCCCTCCCTGCCCCAGGTCAGCCATGCTGTCTCGTTCTTCTCTTTTTACAAAAGCATTGAGTTAATTCCATAGAATGGAAGTGGGGTAAAGAAACTATCTTTTCTGTCCAGAGTTTTTCCTGATCATGCCCAGCTCCGGGTGGAGGTGGCCTAGGTTACTACCCGTGAGCCTTTCAGAAACACAGTTAAATATAGGCTGGAGCCGATCCAGGCTCTGCAATGTGAGAAACCGATGGTGAGTGAAGTGCAAGAGTTTGCTGACCCACCTCTGCCCCGTGTTACTGGGATACAGCTGGCGCACAGCTGTGAGTACGGGATGTGTGAGGTGTGCCCCCCGAGCTCCGGTGTGCGCGCTCCGCCCCATCGGCGTCCAGCAGTCTGGTGCCAACGACACGCTAGTAAGTGTAGCAACCCAACACACACATCACGGTGTGATTACTACAGTAAGTTCAGTCAACACCCATCTCGTATAACTACAAAAAAAAATCATTCCTTAATGAAAGCAGCCACTAGCAGACCCTTTGGGTGAGCTGGGCACAGCTGACATAGAAGAGCAATTTCATTGTGAGGCCGCACCCTGGACCAGGGAGCTTCCGGAGACCCCCTGGAATTACACTTGGATTCATTTTTTGCAGGAGACAGCTTTTGTCAAATGGGTCTGTGCCCCAGAAGTGTCTAAAACAGTCCCTCACCCTGAAAAGCACCTTGTATTTCATATCAGCACTAAGTAAATATAGGAAATGCATATACACCTCGCTTTATTCTTCCCCCTTCCCAACTCAGAGTCCGAATGAGGGGAAATACTTCCATAGCTCCACAGGCACCTAGGACGTGTTGGTACTGAGTGGTGACATGGGCGTCTTTAGGTAACCGGACTGTCCCAGACTGTCTTAACTGTGAGAGCCCAGGCAAAGCCTCGGGAGCGCGTTGGGCACAGGGAGCTTCTTCCTCCATTCGTGACACTGGGCCCGCTGCCCCAACCAAGCAGCCCATCCACAGGAACTGGTTGGCATCTGCCTCTGCAGCCAGAGATCTGCAGGACTTCACAGCTGGCTGCCCCACCAGAGAGGGACCCCGGGCCCAGACCTCCCACCTCCTGCCCCATTGCTGTGTCGACACAGTACCAAAGTGACACTAAATCTGAGCGGACACCACCTGAGTTGACACCAGGGCCCTATCCAATTTCTTGCGATCATGCACAGATCCCTACCACCACCAGGCTGCACTTGGGTGCAGCAAAGCACTTCCACCAGAGGCGGGGAGAAGTGCTGCCAGTGATCTCGCCAGTCCTTCCCAGCACGCTCAGCCATTTTACTTAATCCCTTGTCAGACTGTATTGTACACTGAACACCCTGTGCCTCTTGACCTGTTCTCCCAGCACCGCAGATTGGAAAAGCCTTAGGATAAAGTTAAACTCTGGGATGAAAGAAATAGCACTGCCCTGGCTGGTGTGGCTCAGTGGACTGAGTGGGCTGGGAACCAAAGGGTAGCCAGTTTGATTCCCAGAAAGTCTCCACACATGCTCAGATTTCTAAGTCCAGCCTGTGCTCAGCTGTTCCCTTTTCCCGTCTCTGCCTGACCAACCCCCCCCCCGCCCCCGCCCCCTGCAGCCAGAGGGATCAAAAACACTCACCTCATCAGTCTGCACCCGGCCCAGCAATCCCCCAAGGATCAAAACGTGAGCCCTACTACTTACTCTAGTCTCCTGTGACAGGCGGAGTCTTACCCATGAGCCTTTCAACCTGCTCTCCCCACTCTCGCCCTGACTTGGTTATTAGCTATTTATCCTTCAGTCTTGGTGCCCGGTCCCAAGGCGCTCACAGCGTCTCCCTCATCTTCATCTTCACGGATTCCCCTGCTGGGTGTGAGCTCCGGGGAACGGTGCCTGGGCTCGTGTGCTTCCCCACGCTCTCCAGTGCCTAGCGTGGAGCTCGATTCCTCCACCCCCAACGCATAGGCTCAGTCGGTATTTGTTGGGAGAATGAATGAATGAGCCCCAGTAGAGAGGCGTGCCATCAAAAGCTGTGTGCGGGTAATAAGCAAGTATTCCTTCTGAACTACATGAGAAAGTAATCGGGACAAATAAAGTTAAGACATCTCTCCGACCTAGGACGCACCCCTGTGAACACCTGTGCCAGGCCCTGCGCTGGCAGAGAGCACACAGACCGACGAAGATCCCTGACGGTCCCGTGGGGATGCTCGGCACCTGAATCTCATGAAATTCACAGAAGCACCTACATAGACTATTGTGCACATAATTTGGACGGGGTCACAGCCCCCAGAAGCCCAGCAAAGGACCACGGCTTAAGCATCCCTACTCCAGCTGGAACGAGAACGATCAAATGAGTGCCTGGAGCGCGAGACCAGCCACGACAAAGTGAGGAAGGCACCGAGGGCTTCAGAGGTCGCGGGGACAGGGGCTTGGGCCTGGGAAGGCTCCGCGGCGGGAGGCCCTCGGGCCTACATTAAGACACTTGTCCCATTCTCCACGCCACAGTAAACCGAACCAGGCTTCCGAGCGAGGAGCGCCGTACAACAAGAACGACTCAGGAAGATGACGCTCGCGATGCGCGAGGCTGCGCCAATAGACAACGACCCCGCCCTCGCCCAATGCCTTGTGGGGCTTAGAGGCGCCAGCCAGACCTCAAGTATCGCGAGGGAGCGAGATTCACGCGGATAATAGAATTCAACCGGAAGGTGCTAACTAGGCGGAGCGAAGTCCCGCGCCCGGGGATTGAGCCAGTCCCAAGGTCTTTCGGTCTTGGCCTCGGGGATTGGTCCGAGGGAGCACATGACCGAGTGCACCGTGGGTCACGTGATCGAACCGTGGTGGCGTCGTTGAATCTTGGTGAAATCTGCCGCGCGAAAGAGCTGGGGTGTCTTAGACCCCAAACCAGGGTTCGGGACGCGGGACCCCCGCGGGCTGCCCGCGGGTCCGGGCCTCCGCACGCGGCCGTGGGCAGTGCAGATTCGGGCACTCACTAACGGCAGAAGCCCGCCTGCTGCGTCCCGGTCTTCCGCTCAGAGGGTCTGGACCTCAGTTCCCTCGCTTGTAATGTGGGCACAGTGTTGCCCGACGACCGCGGTGGTGCAAGGCCTACGGGAGGCAGGCTGCGTGGGCGTGCACGGCCCACCTGCGAGCGGGGGCCCGCGCCGGCAGCTCAGAGGGCTGACCGTGAGCCCGGTCGTTGAGCAGGGTAGAGCACCTGGCCCTGGCTGACCCCAGCGACCCATCGCGGAGAGTTGGTAAAGGGCGGTGCTGTGCCCCCTGGGTGCGAGCCACCAGACAGTTGTGGTCTTGTTAAGTCTACATCAGCGGGGAGGGTTCAGTAGTATCCGCAAGGCCCAGAGAAGGGGAGAGATTTTGTTGAGGCGAGTGGTGGACCCTCTGTCGGGTGGCTCCTCCGCCCCGAGAGGAGATGGTGGGCGAGCCACCTGGGAGTACCACCTCCTTTCTGTCCGGAGTTAACCCAAGCCCCAGCGTCCTGCTGAAGGTATGTGTGGCTGGAGGTTGGTGCCAGGCGCTTTTCTGGGTACAGGGGATCTAGCATTAAACAAGGGAAGCAGAAATACCTGCCCTCATAGAACTGTTAGTGCAGTAGAGAGACAATAAATGAGATAATATGCCGGTTCCATTCCTGGTCGGGGCACAAGCCTGGATTGTGGGCCAGGTCCCTGGTGAGGGGTGCACAAGACAACCCATCGATGTTTATCTCCCCAGCCACCTCTAAAAATAAATAAAGTGTACTTTTTAACATAGTCTGTTCCCCTTGTGGAGAGCAGTCTGCAGGCAGCTCTGGCAGGAGCCCGGCCGAGGAGCAGGTGGAGAGGAGAGCAGCCAGGTCTGCTGTTGGACCAGACACAGGTGTGAGGGCACAAGGGGCCTCCTGAGCCCCAGGTGCATAGCAGCGGGGTTTCTGTGGTGCGGGAAGGAGTTTGAGGGAATCAACAAAGAACCGTGACACAAAACAAATCAAAGGCGGTGACAACCCAGCGATAGCAGTCATGCCCCAAACACAGGTCAGGGGTGGTTAGAATTTTTAAAAAGTAAGAGGCAGCTATAAGCTGCCTGTAAGAAGCCACTTTAAATGTAAAGGCCCAAACAGATGCAAAGTGAAAAATGGAAACGGTGTACCGCACTAAGGCGGGTCAGAAGAAAGCCGCCGTGGCTAAAGCCGGACAAAGTAGCTGTAGAGCAGCCACGTCCGGCCCTCTTCCCGGCGCACGTGGACTGGCTTCTGCCAGTCTGACAGAAAACAGGTCTGACTTGGATTCACTCACACCAGACAGCCACTGTGCTGGCTGTCATTTTTATATTTGACAATCTAAGGGAGAAGGGGTCAGTGGCCCTGACTAAATAAGTATTGCGTGGCTTAAAAATTATTGGGGCACACTATTTGAAAGTCATTGTCAGAGAGCAAATACTACTACTAGGAATAGAGAGGAACATTTCAAAATCATAAAGGGGTCAGTTCATGAAAAGGATATAACAACGCCTTGTGTTTATGCATCTAATAACAGCTCCAAAATAGTGGAACAAAAAAGGCTTCTGCCAGAAGAGAGACAGATGCTTGATTATAACCCGGAAACTCCGTGTCTCTCAGTAATCGACAGAACAGGTGGTGGCCGGTCAGTGAGGATGTGGAGGACTCTACCAGCACTTTCACCTGCAGCGGTGGGATTGGCATTCCCAAGAACGCCACACCCAACAGCAGCAGAAAGCTGGCGAGGGCGACAGCCCTATCGCAGAGATGCACTGAATGCCCCAGGGCCCGGCGGACGTCACCTGGGGCAGGAGCGTTCCGAGAACACAGATGGCCTCTGAAGGCTGAGCATTAGCCAGAAGCCAGGTGGAGGACCGTTTGAAGGAGGGCATCCGTCCTCCCCAGCTCACACGGTGGAATTCTTTTTTTTTAATCTAGATTTTTTAAAAGAGATTTTATTTATTCATTTTTAGAGAGGGGAAGAGAAGGAAAAAGGGAGAGAAATATCAATGTGTGTTTGCCTCTCGTGCTCCCCCTACTGGGGACCCTTTGGTTCACAGGCCAGAGCCCAATCCACTGAGCCACCCCAGCCAGGAAGAATTCTAATGCTCAGTGTGATGGTGTTAGAAGATGGGGCCTCTGGAATGTGATTAGGTCATGACGGTGGAGGTGAATTCGTGCTCAGTGAAGGACCCCACAGAGCCTCCTAGACCCTGCTGCTGAGTGAGGAGCAAGGACACATCTGCAGCCCAGACTTGGTTGGTTGCATAAGGACTCTTATTCAACCCGTCGTGACACCCTGATCTTGGACTTCCAGCCTTCAAAACTGGGAAATACATTTCTATTTTTTATAAGCAAAAAAGGGGGAGGGGTGGGGGTTGCCCATAACCTTGGTGGGGTAGCTCTGTTGGTTAGAGTGTCCAGATGCACCAAGGTTGCAGGTTTGATCCTTCATCAGGACATGTATAAGACTCAACCGATGAATGCATCAATAAGTGGAATAGATGTTTCGTTCTCTCTGGAATGAATTAAAAGGAAGGTCGGGCTGCCCTGCTGTGTCATGCTGTCTGCAAGGTGAGGACTGGGAGCTGGTGGCTGGATTTGGCCCCGTGGAGGCCAAGGGCGACCTCCACTGGAGTGCTTGCCCAGGAGGGCGGACTCAAACACCCACCAGTATGTTAAGACGAGTGAGAGCACCCCCCCAAAATAGACTCATTTTCAAGGTGTTTTGAGGAAAGGGGCAGCAAGAGATGGAGAGGGCCTGGCGGTTGGGCAGGGGTTTCTCTATTTTTTAAAGATTTTATTTATTTACTTTTAGAGATGAGGGAGGGGAGCAAGAGAGGGAGAGAAACATCAGTGTGTTGCCTCTCATGCACCCCTGTACCAGGGACCCAGCCTGCAACCCAGGCATGTGCCCTAGACTGAGAATCAAACCTGTGACCATTTGGTTCACCAGTGAGCGATCCACTGAGCCACACCAGCCAGTGTGGGGTTTTCTGTCTTTAAAGAAGGGATGCCCTGGAAGAGGTTGGACACCACTGGGTAGAATCTAGGAGAGAGAGAGCACTTTTGGGAGCAGGGGGAGAATTTCAGAGTGATGTCCATCCAGGAAGGGGTCCAGCACACCCAGGGCACACCTGCTGGTCTTGGCTGGGGACGCAGGCAGTTCTTACGTAAGAGAAGGGGCCAGGGCACTGTCGGGGATTCAGCCTTTACCAGTGGGCGGGAGCTGGGATCAGGTTGGGCCCCGGGCTGGCATTTTCCTCTGGGCACTGCCATTGCTTGCTCTGGGACCCTGGACGCGTGACTCAGGTGACCTTGGGAAGGTGAGCAGAGTGGCGTCACCGGGATGGGTAGGGAAGGGGGTTGGGGTGCAGCCTCCTGCAGCTGGAGGTGGTACCACTGTATGCGTCCTCCCCTTTGCCACCAGAGGGCGCCAAGAGACTTCCTTCGGGGGCTCTTCCCTTCCAGCCCCTCAACCGCCTGCAGTTGAGCTCAAAACTTCCAGGAGCCTTGTTTAATCCCAGCCTTTCCCTGACGCTCCCGACTGGGAACCCAGACAGAAAAGGGGGCGGGTCCTGGGAGGAGCTTCACCAGAAAGCGCCCCGCAGCCTGGTGCCCGGTGTTCGATGAATGGGTGGAGCCGCGGGTTGGCAGCAGCTGGAAAGGTCGGCACCCGAAGTGCGCCCAGTGGACCGGCTGCTGCTGCCACCGCCACCACCCAGTTCATTGGGCAAGGCATTGGACTCACAGCCATAACCAGACCCTGCCTGAAATGAGCCCGTGGAATGAATGAAAATGAGAATGAATGGGCCAGCACCAAGGGGAATTTCGAGGGAAAGGAGAGATCTCAGGTGCAGAGCCTCAAAGTGAGGGGCTGGGGGAGGGGTCCACTTGGAGATGAGACTGACCCATTCAGACTTGAGCCGCCAGCACAGCACTTTAAAGAGAGGAGAGGGGAGTGGGTGCAGTCTCCTCCAGGTAGACTGTTTATCTCTAATTTCTGATAAAATACAAGTGCCTGTTTAAGCAGCCTCCATCGTCTCGAATCGGCTTAGAATAATCCCTTCTCCAGCACCTGCTGCCCACTGCCAATTGAAAGACGATTCCACTAGGGACGAGAGACAGCTGAGATGCCAAATCTAGCAAGCAGTGGGAGCGGCCAGATTTGGGTAGGAGGCCCACCCCATCCAGGGTCAGCTTGGGGCATGGTGTGGGGAGGGGGCAGAGACTGGCAGCGAGAGGCCTAGGAACACCTCACAAGAAGACTCCAGGGCAGCCTCGCCAGCCTCCAGGGTAGGAATCGAGGGCCCTCAGCACCCTGTGCACAGCAGCATTCAATCTGTTAACCATACTTGTTATTTATTAAATGCAACAAACACCTTTGGGCAACAGAAATTAGTGGATCTTCATCGATTGGTGAATGTAAGAATCCTGTCAATTGATTGTTCAGGTTCCCAGATTCCTAGCCCCTTGGAGATAAACGCTTCTAGTTTGGAGCCCATCGTACAAGCCCGCGAATCTGGAGGCTCTGTGCAGCCCTATTGCCCTGGCTGGGGGCCAGGCTGCAGGTGTCCCAGCGGCTTGGATGCTGGAGCCACTGTGTCTCCAGGCCAGTGCTGACTCATGGTGCATCCCTCAACAGCCTCTCTCCCTCCACCAAGTCACTGCTGGATTTCTGGGTCTCTTATGCTATGTGGTCACTTCAGACTTTACTGACTTGCATGTCGTAGTTTGTCCTCTTTGTCCCTGTTCCTACCCCCAAGACACGGGGAAGGGGAGAACTTAGCAGAGAGCCTAGCACAGAGTAAGCAGTGTTAGCTGTTGGTAGTGTTAATATTCATTACAGTTGTTATCACGGCACAAACTCATCACAGCTGCTTTTATTGTTCCTGGAAGGTTCCATCTGCTTGGGCACATCCCCCAAGGGTGGCCCACAGGTTAACAGGATGCAGTATTGATCTCTTTCCTCCTCCAGTAGCTATTTAAAGACAAGAATCATCTGATTAGTCTTCATGTTCCAGCAGCCCCTGGGACCTGCCACCTGGTAATTGAACAAGGATAATTTTATGTGCAGAAGTTTTCCAAAGATGATTTGGGGAAATCAAATCATCCCATCAACCTTCCACCAATCAGGACTCAGCTCTCTGTGCACTTTGATATAAAACTAACACCTTTGGCTTCCCTTCCTCCATGCAATTTAAGAAGCAAGTTATGAATTTGAACTATCAATGGCCAATTAAAAGAAACTATCATCTCTAAACCAAGAATGTGTAAAAAATAAAAAACAAGATTAAACCAAGAATGTGGCCCACCTGGATTCCAGCCCTGTCATTTCAGCAGCAGGAAGGAGGTGCACGTGGATGGGCGCTGGGAGGCCCTTAGAGGGCAGGCCTCTCAGCCCCACTTCCTGTGGACCCAGACGCTAAGGCCCACAAATGACAGTGCCAGCCCCAGCTGCGAGCAGAGTCACTGTTCTAGGTGGAGGCTCTCACGTGGGGCTCCCTCTAGGTCCTACAGCGTCCAGGAGGGGATGATTTTGTCATTAGCAGCTCAGGACCCACAAAAGCTCGGCTTTACCCCACTGTTCAGGTCCTAGCTTTACCTAACACTGCAGGGCAGTCAGGGCTCCAGCTGCGACCTTCAGACCCTCTGCCTCGGTGGAGGCCACTTCCTCCTACCGGAATGCTCCCTCCCAACCTGCTTCTTTACAGCCCAGCCACGTGACACGTGCCCGGACACGCCCCTCATCTCCTCCCCCTCTGATGAAAGTCCTCACTCTCCTATATATGTAATAACACATATGTCATGACTATGTATTTTAGCACTTAACACATTGTCATTCATTCGTTCCACGGGAGAACATGGGCTAAGTGCTTAGAACAATGTCCGGGACAAGCTACGTGCTCAAAAAACGTTGGCTCCCAACATTGACACACATTCATTCATTGATTCATTCATGGAACGTCTCGGCTCTGCGCTGTTCACTGCGGCCACAGCAGTAAACAACACAAAATGTAACCACTGACCACCCCACGCCCACCGACGCGCCAAATTGTCATCTTTAAGTGTTTGAAGTGCGGAGACACGGAGAGGTCCCGCCCAAAGCTGGGACTACAAGTCCCAGAGAGATGTGCGGTGGCACCGCCGGGGGCCCAACTGCGCGCATGCGCGACGTCATGACGCCAGGTCCGCGAGCGAGCGCCAGTGGCTGCGGCGGGCAGCCGGCGGGCGGGGCGGGGTCGGCGGGCGGTGGCCTTTAGGGCGGAGCCGGTGCCGCTCGTCTCAGTCCGCGGCGGGTTAGCGGCGGTCGGCGCCCGGCGCTAGTTTCTCTCATTCGCCCGCTCCTTCCCTTTCGTGCGGAGTCTCGGCTGCCTTCTCAGCGCAGCCTGCAGGTCCCGAGCGCAGCGTCATGTCAGAGCCCGGGGGCGGCGGCGGCGAGGACGGCTCGGCCGGCCTGGAGGTGTCGGCCGTGCAGAACGTGGCCGACGTATCGGTGCTGCAGAAGCACCTTCGCAAGCTGGTGCCGCTGCTGCTGGAGGATGGAGGCGAGGCCCCGGCCGCGCTGGAGGCGGCGCTGGAGGAGAAGAGCGCGGTGGAGCAGATGCGCAAGTTCCTCTCGGACCCGCAGGTCCACACAGTCCTGGTGGAGCGCTCCACGCTCAAAGGTGCGGCTCTGGGTAGCTGCTGGGCGGCCCACCTCGCTCCCGCCGCCCCCGGCGAGGCCGGAGCCCCGGGGCGCCCCTTCCGGGTGTCAGGAGGATGAGGGTGCCCCTGTCTCACCGTCACCCGCAACAATGGGATCGCTTTGTCTGTCGGGCCTCAAGATGGCCGAGTTGGGTGGAGACAGCGTCTCCGGGCTGAGCGCGGCGGGCGGAGGCCGCATCCCGGCCTCCAATGTCACATGAGCTTTTAGGTTTCGATTTGTGTCCAGGCCAGGTCGGCTCGGAAGGGATGTGTCAGGGCAGACCCGCGGAGCCTGGGCCGCTGGGTTCTGGCCCTTCGTGGTCTCGGCGGAGCGGGAGGGCCAGGCAGGGGGAGCAGTGACCGGCGCACATCCACGCCGCCGCCGTGTGCGGACGCGGATGCCGGGCCCGGGGTGACAGGACTGCCAGCCAGGCATCATTTCTGGGTGGACGCGTGCACGCAGGTCTGCCTCTTGGTCCCCACAGCGTCCGGGCTGAGTGGGCGTATCTCTCCCTGTCACACGAGAGGATACTGAGGCTCGGGTGAAGTGAGCCAAGGTCACCAGCTAATCCTTAGACTCTGCGGCTCGGTTTGCAGCCCACTGCTTGCTTTCGCTAGTCGTGTCTCATAATTTGTGTACTGCTTAGATGATCCTAATGGAAACCCTATGATATTTGAGTCTATTTTACAGATTTAAAAAAAGATTCGGTTTAGGCAACTAGCGGGGAGAGGAGGCAGATGGTGACCTCCCAAAAGTAAGGCTAGATTGTCTTCAGAGTGGAACTTGCCTTCAGGGAGGGTTTCCCATGGACTCTTTAAGACCACTGGGTAGAAGACGGCTGCCAGCCTACGGATGGGTGTG